AATAATAATAATAATAATAAATAATAATAACAATAATAATAATAATAACAATAATAATAATAATAATAATAATAATAACAATAATAATAACAATAACAATAATAACAATAACAATAATAATAATAACAATAATAGTAACAATAATAACAATAATAACAATAATAACAGTAATAATAACAATAACAATAATAACAATAATAACAATAATAACAATAATAATAACAATAATAATAACAATAATAACAATAACAATAACAATAACAATAATAACAACAATAACAATAGTAATAACAATAACAATAGTAATAATAGTAACAATAATAATAACAACAATAACAATAGTAATAACAATAACAATAGTAATAATAGTAACAATAATAATAACAATAATAATAACAATAATAATAATAATAATAGTAATAATAATAATAACAATAATAATAATAATAATAATAATAATAGTAAAAATTATTAATAATAATAATAATACTAGTAATAATAATAATAATAATAATATTATTAATACTAATAATAATAATATTAATAATAATAATAATACTAGTAATAATAATAATAATAATAATAATAATAATAATAATACTAATAATAATAATATTAATAATAATAATAATAATAATAGTAATAATAATAATAATAATAATAATAATAATAATAATAATAATAATAATAATAATAATAATAATAATAATAATAAAAATAAAAAAAAATAAAAAAATAATAATAATAATAATAATAATAATAATAATAATAATAATAATAATAAAAATAATAATAAAAAAAATAATAATAATAATAATAAAAATAATAATAATAATAATAATAATAATAATAATAGTAATAATAATAGTAATAATAATAATAAAAGTTTAATAATAATAATAATAATAATAATAATAATAATAATAATAATAATAATAATAAAATAATAATAATAATAATAATAATAATAATAATAATAATAATAATAATAATAATAAAAGTATTAATGATGTTTTTTTTGTTGTCCGTAGTAAAAATATAACAAATGACTGTGGCTATAAGGCAATTTTCTTGAATTGCAAGTAAACTAGTTGTAACCAAAAAACAAGTGAATTAGTTAGTTGCAACAAAAAGAAAAAACAAATCAATTAGTTATTTTAAACGAATAGTTTACACTTTATAACCATCACTCTCATCATTATAAAAGTTGAGGAATTACATGTTGTTATCTCATGGAGGATGGATAAATAATTTGCTCAAGTAGAAGGAAGCGGGTCCCACCTAACACAACATTTTGCCATTGAATGACCGTTTTACCCCTCCCCTATCCTTTATATACGAACCTTCCTCCCTCGTCCTTCTCCCATCTCTCTCTTTCTCTCTCTCTCCCTCTCTTCATTTTCATTGCATGTGCATAATTCAAACATGGCAAAAGGTGGAAAACTCTTGAAGCTAAAATCAGCGCTCAAAAAATGGAACTCGTTCGGAGGAAGACAGAACCGCCACAGCATCAGCGCCGTCGCCGATGAAGAAACCTCCTCCTCCTCCTTCAGATCCGACCTGCACCCCGTCTTCGTTGGCAAGTCCCGCCGTCTCTACCGTGTCACCTCCGACGTTGTCGATAACCCTGTCTTCCGTGAACTCATCGAAAGGTCGCGTGAAACAGAACAGCAAAACGATACCGTTAATGTTGTCGCATGCGAGGTTGTTCTTTTCGAACATTTGTTATGGATGCTTGAAAATGCTGATCCTCAACCTGAGTCTCTTGATGAACTTGTCGATTTCTACGCTTGTTAGTGTCAATAGCTTCCACTCAACCACCACACAAAAAAAATCCACCAATATTTTTCTTATTAATTAATAATTATATATATATTTCTTTTTTTTTTCTTCTTCAATATTCTATTTTATATATACATATAATAATAATAAAAATAATAACAAAATATTGTCTACTTTGAGATCTTGTACAAGATATGGATTAGATGTAAAGTTCATTCATCCAAACACCTCTTATCCAACCTCATTTTGCCTCAGAATTCATTTGATACATTCGTGTTGATATGATCGCATTTGATGGCCGATAGAAACGAAGTTATTCGAATTCATTTTGCTCCAGAATTCATCACATATATTCGTGTTGAGATTGCGTTGATATAAGTTAATAAATAATTAACTTTCTTAAGGAGAGAGTGATCATTATTTGTATTTTATTTCCATGTTGTATATTATTTGTAAGAGAAAATAAACTATTGTTAATAATTTTGATTATTAGTATTCCAATTAGTTAGTTAAACATTGGTTAATTTAGATTTTAGTTGAATTTTCTAGTTGTGGAAATGAGCGTTGCAGAATGAAGACTCCTGTTATATTATGTTATGCTATGCTAGTTTGTTGTAATGAATATGGGAAATTGTGAACAATGTGTAATGTAAGTTGTTTTTGTACAAGGATAATCATGTCTTGTTTTATTTTACCTATGAAAGTGAAACCAATGTACTGTTTGACTTCAATAACTTTGATTGTGGGATAACTAGAACAACAACAAAAAATTGTCACATAAATATATGTTGCATTGATTGTTTCAAAATTTGGAATTTTTTGATAGGTTTCCCAATGTAGAGGTGTTAGGTTATACCAAGAGAGTATAATTGGAATTGTTCATAAATTTTGGTCCACATGGTTTCATTTTACTAATTGAGGAAAATTGAAATGGACTTTATGACTACTTTCTTGTCCTGTTTTTGGATTAACTAAAGATGCAATATTGCTCATGAGAGTCTTAAAATTGACTCATTGGCCCCTCTTAGGGGTTTATGTTATATGACTTCACATTTTTCTAGCTTTATTCATTAGATACATCAACTACAGTAAACTATTAGGGACAAGGTAACATGGGGTATGTACAAAAGTACAACAACCACAGCTAAATTGGCATTCTAGTCACTTCTATCTCTCTCACGGTCTTTTAAATGTTGGTTATGTTTGAAAAATCTAAAAATAATGTGAAATATTCAAATATGTTATAATAATTATATTTACTATTTCAAATATATTGTGAATAGTAAATATATCTTGTGTACAAGATACTGTCACCTTGGTACAGTAACTTAAACTTTACAATTACAATTTAAGTGTTATATATACCACGTATTGGTTTATGTAAAGACATTCCAAAATCTCAAAGATAAATAATAAAGTCTCTTCTATCTCTATATTTTTTTTAGTTTGTTTTAAATATTCACCTTAGTTCAACACGTTATTAACACGTTCGTTTCTACCCGAAATTTTTACTACACTAGATATATATTCTATACTTATTACTTTAATCCTATTAATACTGTTATTATTATTATTTATCCCGGTTACAGAAATTGGCAACCAGTGAAGTGATTTATAATTATAGTGACTATTATTATTATTATTATTTGTTCCGTTATAGAAAACTCGCAATCAGTCAAGTGATTTATAATAGAGTGATTATTATTATTATTATTATTATTATTATTATTATTATTATTATTATTATTATTATTATTTGCTCCAGTTATAGAAAACTGACAGCCAGTCAAGTGATTTATAACTAGAGTGACTATTATTGTTATTATTACTTTACTTTTTGTTATAGAAAACCGACAACTCGTCAAGTATTCTATAATAAGTAAAACTATTCTTATTATATATTTTGTGTGGAGGTTTAAAACCTCATATGATGTTACTAAATTTTATATTTAGTGGATATTTAAAACTTCATGTTGTTACTAGCTTTTATATTTAGTGGAGGTTTAAAATCTCATGTTGTTACTAACTTTTATATTTAATAGAGGTCTAAAACCTCATATGTATATTCTAATATTTATCATATGTGTTCTTTTGTCTTATATGTTATCAGATAATTATCTCCAAACACTTATAACAACCATATAATTATTTTTTTACACACTTAAATTTTGGCTAGATAATATTTTTTTTCTTCACACTTAACCTTTTTCCTTTTTCTTTTCCCTTTCCCCAAGGATAATATAACAGCTATTTTTTTCAAAAAATTACCTCTATAAATATTTCAACTTCCATAATTTTCACATCATTCTCAAAACTTCTACCCATATTTTTTAAATGGCTAAAACTCTTCTTTTGTTCATCACTCTACTTGTAATTATTTTGTTTATTATCAGTGTTATCAAACATGAAGAATTAGGTAATGATTGTGTAGCTTTGATAATAATTATCGTCTTACCATTACTAGTCTTAGCTTGGTTTATTAGTAGAGGTTTTTTAATAATATATAGTAACGAATTTTGGAATTGAATAAATTGTTTTTCTTTTCTTTTTTTAGTTTATGTATTTAATATTGTTTATATTCATCTGAATTATAGATATAATCATGTCAAATCTTAAGCATCAATTCAAAATTCTAAGCATAACTGGGGACAACTTCATAACATAGAACAACAATTTAATTGAATACCTTACATGTGAGGGACTTAACAAAATACTTGTAGGAGACAATTCTGGAAAATCGACAGAAGACCCAGATGAAATGGAAAAGAGAAAGTCAAAAGTGAACAGAATAATCAAACACCATCTTGATGATGGATTGCAAACCGAATATTCAAATGCTAAAGATCCCAAGATTTTGTGGGATAAAATTAAAGCAAGATTTAGACATCAGAAGAAAGTCCTATTACCCTCATTAATAGATCAGTGGAATAAGTTAAGGTTCCAAGATTACAAAAGTGTCATTGCATATAACTCTGCTATGCACCAGATTATAGCACAACTAGAATTTTGTGGCAAAATTATAACTGAAAAAGAAAAATTGGAAAAAACTTTTTCAACTTTTCATACATCCTAGGTATTATTACAACAATAATATAGAATGATGAAATTTGCTGAGTATTCTGATTTAGTTGCAGTCCTTCTAGTGGCCGAACAAAATAACGAGCTCCTTATAAAAAACCACCAGACACGACCCACAGGAACAATTGCATATCATGAAATAAATGCCACAACCTTTAATCGTGGGCGTGGTGGCTTTAATCGTATTAAGAGACGTGGTGGACATGTTCGTTTTGATGGTAATGAAGGTCGTGCTCGTTTTGATGGTCACAGTCAAGGAAGATACTATGGTCAAAACCTTTTCCATGGTCGAAACCGTTTTTGTGGTAGAGGACGTGGACGAGGTCATATGAAAAATTATAGATCTCCCAAATATGACCAAAATAATTAGAATCGCCAAGGAAATGGTAGGTATATCCAAGAAGCTCCCTCGAGAAATTATGAAGATGTATGCTACAGATGTGGAAAGAAAGGCCACTGGTCTAAGGTGTGTAGAACACAAAAACATTTGTGTAAAAGACAAATGGAATTTGTAGAGGAAAAGGGAAAAAAAGTGAATTTTAATGAAATTGAACTCAGAGATGATAATACCTATTTTGAGACTGCTGATTTCGTTGAAGGACCAATGAATTAAATAACTATTTAAATAATGAGTGATGTGCTTGTATTAATTTTTACATTTAGACTATGTATCGTCTTAAGAATTTATATGTGTATCTTATGTTTGCATAATATAAAAATGTTAAATATGTTGTTGATTTACTCTCTATTTAATCTTATTCCTATTGCGAAAGGGTTAGACATGGAACATGTCAAAGACATTTGCATTCCAGACAGTGGAACTACACATACAATCCTCAAAAGTAAGAAATATTTTACTAAAATAAATCTTACTAAAGGTGTAATAAATACAATCTCAGGTCCTGCAGATTTGATAGAAGGAACAGATAATGCTACATTCATATTACCAAATGGGACAAAGTTTGTCATTAATAATGCTTTATACTCTCCAAAATCAAAAAGGAATTTGTTGAGTTTTAATGACATATATCTTCAAGGATATGATACAAAAACTGCAACTGAAGGTAACATGAAATACATTAATATCACTGCTAATATTTTGGGAAAGAAGAAAACTTTAGAAAAACTACCAAAATTGCCTTCTGGATTACATTATACATATATACATGAAATTGAATGCAATTTAGTAGTAAAAGAAGATCCCAAAATTGTGAATTTATGGCATGACCGTTTAGGTCACCCTGGTTCAACAATGATGTGTAAAATAGTTGAAAGTACACATGGTCATCCATTGAAAAGTGTAAAACTTACAAAAGAAGATAGACCATGTGAAATTTTCTCTCTTAGCAAACTAATAACAAAGCATTCATCAGAAAATATTCAGACAAAATCACCTACTTTTCTTGAAAGAATTCAAGGTGATATATGTGGACTTATTCATCCACCGTCAGGACCATTCAAGTATTTTATGGCATTAATTATTGCATCTAGTAGATGGTCATATGTATGTTTATTGTCAAGTCGTGATATGGCTTTTGCAAAATTTCTTGCACAAATAATTAAGCTAAGAGCTCAATTCCCTGATTATACCATAAAGAAAATCAGACTTGACAATGCTGGTGAATTTACATCTGAATCATTTAATAATTAATTCATGTCAATCAGAATTGTTGTTGAACATCCTGTTTCTCATGTGCATACACAAAATGGTTTAGTTGAGTCATTAATTAAACATCTTCAATATATTGCTAGACCATTAATAATGAGAACTAAACTACCAGTTACTGTTTGGGGTCATGCAACTTTACATGCTGCAACACTCATACGTTTAAGGCCAAGTGCTGATCATAAACATACCCCTTATCAACTTGAAATTGGTAAGGAACATAATATTTCACATTTAAAGATTTTTGTTTGTGCAATATTTTGTTAAGGGT